GGCGGGTTTAGGGGTGAAGGGGCGGGGCCTGTGGGGATCGGGGCGGGGCTTGTGGAGACGCCGTGTGAGGCTACGAGTGGGCTCAGCCGGACTGGGAGGGGCTTATGCAAATCAAGGGCCTCAGGGAAACCTCTCCCTCTTGGGGTGAAAGCGGCGGTTTGAGGTAAAACCTGCCGGTTTTGGCTCCGGTTCCAGGCCTTGAGAAGCCAGTGCTGGACCCGCAGCCCAAACCGGGGTCACTGGGCCGTGCTCTGTGGTCGGGGCCTTCCCCCCGCTGGGGGTGTTGGTGCTGCCCTGACCGGGGCTGCCTCGGCTCAGGGGGGAACAGGCCGGGGGCCGCTGCCGGCCAGAGGGGGCTGATTCCCGTCCCTGAGGCTCAGGACTGCTTCCCGAAAGGGCTCCTGCGGGCAGCGGCCTCACCGGGACTGCATGGCCGGGCCGACAGCTCTGATCACCCTTTATTTATTTTTCGTTCTGGCCAGGCTGGATGTGCCCTGTGCAATTACAGCTCTTCCCACCAGCAGCAGGAAATCAGCTTTTGTCTCTGTGTGGGCATCGAGGAGTATTTTTCTCCATTCCTCTGTAGAAAGCCAACGGCCTCCTGGCTTGTGTCAGCACTGGTGTGGCCAGCAGGAGCAGGGAGGTGACAGTCCCCCTGTGCTCTGACTGGTGAGGCCACACCTGGAGGGTTGTGTCCAGGTTTGGGCACCTCAATCCCAGAGAGATCTTGGGGGGCTGGAGCGAGGGCAGAGGAGGGCAACGAGGCTGGAGAGGGGATGGAGAATAAATCCTGTGAGGAGCCAGGGAAGGAGCTGGGGGTGTTCAGGGTGAGGAGGAGGAAGCTGAGGGGAGCCCTCATCCCTCTCTGCAGCTCCAGGGGATCAGGGACAGGACAAGAGGGAACGGCTGGAAACTGCCCCAGGGGAGGGTCAGGCTGGGCAGGAGGAGAAAATGTTTCCCAGCGAGAGTGGTCCGAGAGTGGAACAGGCTGCCCGGGGAGGGGGGGTTTCAGGGCCGTTGGGATGAGCTGTGGGGGGGATGTGGGGTAGGGGAGAGCTTTGTGGAGTCGGGCTGAGGGTTGGACTCGATGATCCTGAGGGGCTTGGATCTTTTCCAACCTGGACCATTCTGGGATTCTGTGATATTGTATTGAAGGCTGTTATGTCTCCCTTCTCCAGACTGAATGTCCATCCTTTCCTGTAGGTTGTGTTCTTGCTCTCTTCTGGACTTTCTCCAGGCGCTCCATACCTTGAAGGATACTGCCCAAAAGTGGGAACAATCCTCCAGTTTGGTAAGCAGAACAAACATAAAGATTTCATCGTATCTTACTGATAGTCCTACCCATCCCCAACCTTCTGCTCTGCTGCCTGGAATATAAACCGCCCTGTATTTGACGAAGATAAAATCAAAATGTAGAAAGATCCTCACATTTGCCTCTCATCCTTCTAACATGGTCTGGGCAGCTATGGGGGTCTGGAGCCTGTAGCTGAGCTCCCCAGGTGGGTTTGATGTCCTCAGGCCCATGAACTCCAACACTACCACAGTGAGACAAGGTGGCCGTGGCACCAGCTGTCCTTGAGCTGTGGCTGTCATCTGCTGTGTCCAAAAGTTGTCCCCACCAACTGTCCTAGGCTTTCTCAGAGGCTTTGCCTCCTGCTGTATTCCTTTTCTAGCACATGTCTACTGAGCTGTGGTTTTTGGGGGATCCTGGTAAAACAAAGAGCTCCAGGTGTCCTGCCTGTGTCTTCCTTGTGTTCATTACTGCTGCCCGGTGACCTTGCACAGGTCTGTCTCCCTCTGTTTAGGGACAACATGCGGGTACATAATTATTTAAAAAGTTTTGTCTGCTTTTTCCCTGCCTGTTCTTCCCAAAGCAGCTAGACTTTTGATATCAGTTTTTCAGACACATGAATTATGCCATCAAGTCTCTGTAAATTGGCTTATGGGTAACAATCCCAATCTGTCCTCCCTGTCATCTCATTTCTTTACTTTCAGATCAATGGATTTCCCTTTGTCTCCACCCAGGATTAACTTCCTTGGTGCTCAACCACTCCAGACCATGCATGCATCCCACTATTGCTTGGTATCACCAGCGCTGTCTCATCCATAACGTGGCACCCTGCAGTGCTGAGTGCTGAAGGACAAGCAGCGAAGCCTCACGTGGCTCCAGAAAGAATCGCAGTAACATCACGAACTCGTTAGCTGCTCCCGTCAGCCTGTTTGATGCTAAAACACAGAAAAATATCACAACATCATTCAACATGCAAACCAAATAAGTCCTGCACAGCGATAATACTTTGGGAACTAATCCTGACTTGGCTCAGAGCGTGATGGATTATGTGGTTGATTTTTCTTCTTCTTTTTTTTTTTTTTCCAATCCTCTATTCAATTCAATACATTCCAATAATCCTAGCAGCTCGGTTCTGCCCATGCCTGCCTTTCTAAGGAGACAGAAGAACAGTTGGCCTAATGCTTTTTTCTGAGATTTAAAACAGACAAGCGAGGCTATTTCTCATGCCCAGCCAGTTCAGCTTTCACTCACACCCCTGGAAGTCAAGAGTAACTGAACAGAGGCCAAGTTCCTCTGGATTTACAACAATGCATCTGGGAACAGAATTCTGCCCAAAATACCAAGTACGAGGCTGACATCAGCTCAGCGCCTGGTGGCTCACACCAGGCTCGTTTTCCTTCAACAGTTTTCTTGGCTAAAATGTGATAAATAGGACCAGCGACCTTACCTAACCTCTGTGAGGCTGCAGGCTCCTGGTGCAGCCCGAGGAATGGGAAGCTGCCATCAAACACGGAAACAAGGAAGTTGCTTCTGTCTCCAGTATGATTACGTGGATGTAGACTGGTAGGAGGAAAAGGAGGAGGACTGAGGATTATTATCTCTGCTGCAAAGCAGAAGGAGGAAATTCTCTTTTGGTCCCACCCAGCTGCTTCCCAACGTGATGGCAGCTGCTGGTCCTTTATCGCCTGAATAAAACCTCCTTTACATTCAGACTTCAGCGAGGTTTTGGTTGGTTTTCTAGACTGGTTCTGGCTTTTCTCATAAAGCCTTGCGGGTTGTCATGCTTTGGGGATGACTCTGTCTGAGAATAGCCACGATGGCCAAGAACAGGCTGGACACACAAACCTGGCCTTTAATTTAACACCAACCAGGGTGTTTTAGCGTGGTGTCCCAAGGCCTGGTGGCAACCTCGTGCTTGGAGATAATAAAGTCCTCACCTTGTCAGAAGTGTCTACATCCCCCATCCCATCCCTTTCCCCTGAGGGCTAATCTGGTCAGGATAAAGGATCAAAAGGAGAAACAATTAGCAAATGGAAGAATTTAATGATGCTAATTAAAATGTATTAAGTGTAGCCACTGCCTCTGCACCAGCTGCTTTGGCAGGAGCCTGGAGTCCGTGGAGCGCCAGCCTCACCCCAGTGCGGAGCAGGGAAACAGGACATCTGGTGTGCCCTCCCCCCAGCCCCTTGCAAAAAAGCAGGTTGGAGGAAACCTTCGTTTCATTTGCTGCTGCTCGCAGGGTTCGTGGCGGAGCCCCTAATTAGCTCCATCTCTGCAGGAGACCCCTGGGACCTCATTAGGCATTTCAATTAGTGAATAGCCAGAGCTGTGGAGGGAGAGGGGGCTGGGGGCCGTTTGATCAAGATGGCTGCAATTAAGCAAGCGGATGGAGGTGACAGAAGTAACCTCGCTTCCAAAAAGAAAGTGGGGAAAGCACCAAGCTGGCTCCCAGATGCTACCCACACACCAGAGCAAGCTCTCCCAGAAGTTTGCTCTTGACAAGCTCTTAACGAGACGTTTGCCAGCTCCTGGCAATAAAAACTCCACGATAGCTGCAGAGAGTTTAGGGGCAGGCTCGTCACAAAAATGGCACCTTTTAATCGAGGTTTTAGACCCTTTCTTACTGTTTATCATGTACTCTCAGGCGCGTCCTCACCTCTCCCCATGGTGTTCCTGGGGCTGCCTGTCTGCCGCGACAGCCCAGCCCAGCCCCCGGCCGCCCCAAGCGTGGCTCTGCAGGAATCGCTCACTTGGAGTATTCCCAGCCAGGAGACATCAGGCACTTCTTGAACTTCGTTGCAGTCTGGGACTGGGCTGCAATGATGGCAAAAATGTCTTATTTCCCAAGGATGCAGCTGCCCATTCCCAATTCCAGGTTCATGGTTGGACTGGATAATCTTCAAGGTCTTCTCCAACCAAGAAGATTCTGGTATTCTGTGGTTCAGCATCACCCACCCACACCCAGCTCTCCCACCCAGCTGTGCCTCCTGCTGCTTCTCAGAACCCCAGAAACATTCAGGTTGGAAAAGCCCCTCGGGATCATCGAGTCCAACCCTCAGCCCGACTCCACAAAGTTCTCCCCTACCCCACATCCCCCACAGCTCATCCCAACGGCCCTGAAACCCCCCAGGGATGGGGACTCCCCCCTCCCCGGGCAGCCTGTTCCACTCTCGGACCACTCTTGCTGGGAAACATTTTCTCCTCCTGCCCAGCCTGACTCTCCCCTGGGGCAGTTTCCAGCCGTTCCCTCTTGTCCTGTCCCTGATCCCCTGGGAGCAGAGCCCAGCCCCAGCCTCTCTGCAATGTCCTGTCAGGAGCTGCAGAGAGGGATGAGGGCTCCCCTCAGCCTCCTCCTCCTCACCCTGAACACCCCCAGCTCCTTCCCTGGCTCCTCACAGGATTTATCTGTCTCTT